ATAACAGGAGGGGTCCCAGGAAATATGGTACTGTGGAATTGCTAGTGTGGAGCCCGTGAAGGACTTAAGGCAGAGACTGCAATGAGCTTGGGGAGTGGGATGAGGTGATCAGTTCAGTTAGTTGGCTCATCCATGAGGTGATATCTCTTTTATTCCGATGAAATCTTCAAGTATCGCTTCTGGCCAAGCCTAAGAGATAACAAGGGACCAGGAACTAAAACCTCTCCTGGCATTCCTTGCCTCCAGCAAGGACATTCTCAGAGTGGCTGGTCTGGGGGCCCTGCCCCACCTGGCCAGTGTCTTATCTCTTGCTCTCCTGGCTAAGCTCTGACTTGGGTGTTCCCTCAGCACAGCCAGCCACTGAAGACAGAATAGAGTTCTAGACAGTGCCCAGAGAGAGGAGAGGAAGGGTATCAGAAGAAGGCAAGAAAGACAAGAGCACTGGGGGTGGGGGGTGGGGATGTGTGTGTGTGTGGGTGCACACCTTTAATAATTTGGGCAGATTCAAGGCCAGCTGAGCTACAGAAACAGCCAGGGATGTTACACAGAGAAAACCTGTCTTGAAAAAGAAAGGGAGGAAGGTAGGAAGGAAGGAAAGAAGGCAGACAAGAGCACTTGGAATAGCAAGCAGGCCCACCCCACCCACCCTCTGTCCTTCCAGGTCTTGTGACTTCTCTATTTACTTGTTCTGTGGCCCTGGACATTTATCCAGATGGGACAGCTCACTTACCCGTGGGTGAGAATCCCCACCCCCTTTAGATCAAAGCCACTACCTAACAAGGGGGCAATATACATAACTATTACCCCTGCCCTGCATCTATCTCCATGTGCAGTGACTTAGGTTAGAGCAACAGCGGATGTGGCTCGGCGGGGCCACATCACTGACGTTCTCCTTGGCAGCCATGGAACCAGATGCTGGCCAAGGTCCGGGGTGGTGTCTGCAGTACAGTGAAAAGTCCCTCTTGGGATCTTGGAGTGTATGACATCCAGTCATAACAGCCAGTCAATCAGTGGCCCTGCCTAAAGGAAAACAGCCTACTCAGGCGACCGAAGGGATCTACTTCCAGAAGGATCTCCTCACCCTGCCTACACTTGAAACCTAGGCTACTGGGAGTGCTTAGTTCCCAGAGTTGTAGCCTCCAGGGGTAGACCTCTGGCTGCTAGGTAGAAGGAACATGGTTGGGGGAGGGGTACTGGGAAAGTGGTCCCACAGGTTCCCTAACCCAGGCTGCAGAAAATATTTGAGGGCCATGGGGAAACAGCTCTCCAGCCTCGATTGTTGCCAGCTGCCAAGGACAGTTTAGGGCGAAACTGTTTTTTATTTAATGTGGGAGATTGAAATGTCTCCTTCCCTCCCTCCTGGAGCACCCTGGCTCCTCTGACTGGCTCATCCATAATCGCCAAGTGTTTTATTATGTTAAATCTGCAGCTTTATAAATACAGATGAACTAGATTTACATTTTGGAAGAAATCAGTCCCCTGGGGTCCTGAGCTCTCACTGGCAAGGGAGTGAAGTGGGGATGGGGATGGGCCATGGCCCATCTTCCAGCATTGTGGGGTGTGGTGGCCTCTCAGCCGGCCTCAGGCAAGTCTAGCTGACTCTAGAATCCCAGGAGCCTCCATCCCAGGCCACCCTCCCTGCAGGAGTAAAGCAGTGTGCCCCTACAGTGTCTGTAAGGCTGGCCTCCAATTTGATGGCATCCAGCTTCAGAGCAGTGAGAATCGCTCCCATGAGGCTTCCAAGGGCCTGGGGGCTCTGCTGGAGGGTGCTTAGGCAGGACGGAGAGAGCAGGTGGGAAGGAACCCTGGGCAGCTGAGGGACAGCCACAAGCAGTCCAGGGGTGCCTTTGCTGTTTGCTCATCTTGGGGGACCTCAGTAAGAAGCCACCAATTGCTCTCAAAGCCCTGGGTACCCCACAGGACCTTATCACCATAACTTCAGGGACTTTGGAGATGAGAAGGAAAGGAACAGAGAGAGTGAATGTTTGTCTGAGGTCTCACAGCAAATCCATGACAAAGCCAGGCAGTGTGCTAGCTCCTATCTTGTGGGTGGACAAGTGGCTCCTTATGCATGAAGGCAGGGCTCTGTGGGACAGTTGCATATGTAGGGTCTCTGCAAACCTCCACGTACTGGGGTTCATTTATCATAATAGCTCTTGTGGACTCCAGGGGTCCAACCACTCCACCTGGCCCTCCTTCTAGCCCTACCTTATCTGAAGCCCCAGAGAGTCTAAGAAGAAGCACTCTAGTATGGGTCCTAGTGGTTATTAAGGCTAGAAGTTTCCCAAAAGCAGACCCCAAAACAAGGAAAAGTTTGAGTGTGTAGTAAATTTAGAGGTGAATGTGAAGAGAGCAAGAAAGTAGCCAGAAGAGAAGACATTGTCACCAGTCCCACAGAGAGCCACCAGAGCCCTCTGGTATCTAAAGGACCCCCCACCCCAGGGGAACTAGGATGGGTATCCACCAATATCACCAGCCATTGTCTGTAGGCTGCTGTTGGGAAGTCAGTAGTCTTCATGTCCAACTTAACCCTGGGCCATAATGTCCTGGAAGTATCTCTGGAGTTTCAGGCTGTGTTGGTCTCCTGCCTGGAGCCCTGAAGTCTCTCTGTGTTACTGGATATGCACAGTAACAAATGGCATGCAGGAAGTAGTCATTTGTTCTCTAACTGAAAGTTAAAGTCAGATTTGCCCTCAGGCAGCAGAGCTGGGTCCAGGCAATCTTCCTCTTGCCATGGTCCTGGGGCTCTGTGCGTCTTCATGGGCGGTGCGCTCCATATGCAGTTCTTCCCTACACAGCTGGTAAGGTGGCAACCAGCAGCCGGACACAGTCATGCAGTTACTTACTGCATGGTCCATGGTACCATCCCAGGGAAGACTGAGCTTGTGGGCCACGTGCAGCCCCCTGACTTGTGGTAGCTAGGACCATCAGTGGCAGTTCTTTGAAACTGGACTGGTTTGGGTGGCATGGCCTACCACCTCCATCATGCTGGCATGAAGAAACAAGTTCTCCCAGAGATGAGGTCCTGACAAGCCTGCAGACCCACCCTGTGCCCCCTCTGAAGATTAAGTCCTGGCTCACAAGGTAGATGGGACATTCATATGCAGGCTGGGGTTCTGCCTGTTGCCAGCTCATCTCAGCAAGGCTCAGCCTTTTCCTTGAAGCCCCTCAGCTGTGTCCTGAGATGCCACCAGCCCTCCTGCCAGAGTATCTAGTACTGGGATGCACTGAATCCTGCTACTCTGTCGTGTGCATGTGTGCTCCAGTACGGTCATCATCCAGGGTCTGTGTGTAAGACAATCATCAAGACTCAGGGTCACAGAAGAGCCTGGGCTGGGGCTAAGCTCATGTAAGATCCCATCCCAGCTTCCAGGGACTCTCTCTGTGTCCTTCCCCTTACAAAGCTGGGGGGCAACCCCATTCTCCCTCCAGCCCTGAACCCCTCTCAAGATCCAGGAGTGGCATCAGCCAGGGGCAGGAGCTCCCTGTAATAACACTTTCTTGTCTCCATGCAAATCACTTCACACCTAGCTGTGTACACAGATCTGTCTTTTCCTACCTTATAAATTAGACTTTATTGTTTTAATCCAGAAAACATCTTCATATGTAATCTGGCTTTTTTCTCAGGCCCCACTTTCTCTCTGGGGAACGTAACTGAACATCTAATCAGAGCTTATTCTAATTGATGGGTTTGAATGGTCTTGAGATGGTGTTCTCTCTGTTACGGTGGAGACGTGCACAGCCATCTCTGATGCTCCCCATCCCTGCCCTCCTCCCTGGTCGATGGGCTGTGGAGGTAGCTGGAGTGCTTGGCTTGGGTGCAGGGTAGTGCCTTTATGGAATGCATGGGGTCCTGGCTCTGGACTGAGAGGTTGTGGTCCCAGCAGCTGCCGTCCCAGCTCAGAGCATCTAGGAGAACCATTATGAGAGCTGGGCTACAACTGGGTGACCTTTCTGAGCTCAGCTTCCTTACCTGTGAACAGGGAGGGGATTGGGTATGTCTGTCTCAGAGCTGGGGTGCTAGGTGAGTGAGGTGGAGAGCATTAGACTCTCACAGAGCTGGGGTGGGACGTGAGTGAGGTAGAGTGTGGAGAAGAAAATTGGTCACAAACCAAGTTCTGTGACATCAATGATGGTGATCCTCTTCCCTTGTCCACTGCCAAATTTGGAGAAGGAAGCTGGGTGGGCTGTGCTGTTTAAACACTAGATGGGTCTAAAGGAGGGCAGCAATGAAGGAGGAGAAGTGGGGTCTTGCCTGGTGTCTTGGCTTTGAGCCTCACAGGTTGGTGACAAGCAGCAGTGTCTACTGACCTTGCACTGAGCTGCATAAAGCTGTCTGGAGCCTCCCCCTTCCTCCATGGGTAGATAGAAATGGAAGCCAGGCCCCCAAGTCTCTTCTTGGATGTCAAAGGGCTAGCAAGCAGGAAGGCAGAGTCCAAGGCCAAGCGTCACAGTGTTGAGCTCACCCACTCTCTCTTGTGGCTCACCACCTAATCCATGTAGAGGCCTGAGGAGAGTCTAACCACCTCCCATCGCTTCTGGTCCTCTCCCCAGGGTCCAGGTGCATGTCCGTGTTCTGGCCTCACTGTCCGTCTCGCTGGCCATCTTTGTGGTTATGATTGTGCTGGTGAAGGTGGACACTTCCTCCTGGACCCGAGGCTTCTTCAGTGTCACCATCGCATGCATGGCCATCGTCAGCGGCTCCTCCACCATCTTCAATAGCAGTGTGTATGGCCTGACTGGCTCCTTCCCCATGAGGAATGCCCAGGCGCTGATATCAGGTGAGGTCCCACCATGAGAGGGAACCACAGTTGGTCTTTCCAGAAAAGGAAAAGTGTCCTGGGCCCACTCTGTTTTCTTAGTGACACCAAGCACACTGTCCCAGACTTGATAGCTGAGACTTGTTCATTCTGCTCAGTCTGCAGCTTGGACAGTGGATTGAGAAGACAATTGGCTCTCCACTGCTCTGCGCAGTGTCCATGGGATAACTTTATACGGCCTAGGGCTGTAATTCCTTGTGGCCCTCACTATGTTTCCTGGGCTATCTTGTGGCATAGGTCCAGGATGCACACAGTGTGAACATCAGAGAAAACCTGGGCCGCACTTTGTTTTGATGTAGCCATGAAAGTCATAAGGGGACCAACTTCCACAGCCCTTGGCCCACCTAGACTCCAGATGGGTCTCTGTGGCTCCCTGGAAGGTGCAGAAGTTTCACCAGCCGAAGAGCGGGTAGATGGGAGATAGGAACACAACCATGATGGAAGCCCCTGTACCTTCAAAGCATCAATCCTGAAACCAGTCTTCTCTTATTTCCTCCCTCCCACCTTCCCTCCTTCCTGTCCCTTTTCCTTTCCTTTAGTTGTTCCTTTCCCTCCCCCAACTATCCCTTCCTCCCCCCTTTCTGTCTTTTCTTTCCTTTCTAGTTTTATGGAGGCTCTGCCCTCTGCCAGGGGCGGAAGGATGAACCAGACTGTGTCCTATCAGAGCCAGTAGCCCAGTGACTAAACTCCTGGTTCCCGAGACCATGCCATGCTATGGCTTGCTCGGGCCCTGACTTGGGGCATCTCTCTAGCTGAAGTCTGCAAGTGGATGCTAAGCCTGTTACCGGGGACTTTCGCTGTTTTATCTCTCACCTAGATGGCCCCACAAGGTAAACAGAGCTGGGTCAGTTAGCATCTGCTTTATGTGAAGACCACTGTCCCCTACAGCAAGCCTGGAGGCTGCTCTTCTCTCTGTCCCCATGTATCCCTGGTGATCACAAGACTGCTTTAAACACTTGTCTACCTGAGAAGAATTACACAATGCGCAGGACTGTGTCTATTAGTTAGTATGCCAGGTAGGATGTGGCAGGGATGAAAAGTACCTTGACAAGCGCATACCCCCTCCCTGCTCTATACCAGTGCCAGACATCACTAATAGATCCCTATCTTTCCTCCTGAGCCTCTAATTCCCTCTCAAGCCAGCACTTGAGGCAATTACTCTCTGTGGATCAGAGTCTAGATATGAGCTCCGTCTGTTTGCCATTTTTGATATAGGATTAGGCTTCGCTTCTATCCCAGGAAACCCTTGGGCCTGAAATAAAATAAAAATGAACTTGTCATTGAGTTTTCTGAGTACAGTCAACATGCTCCTGGCATTGCTTCAAGAAAGGCAGGTCTGGGCTGAGCAGAATGGCCATCAAAACGCTAATCCCTCTGTCACCACTGGCCTCAAAAAGAGGCTTGTATCCCCTCATCTCCTTCCATCCTATTGGAGCTTTTCAATACAGCTTCAGCCCTGCTGGGTACCAGCAAGGGCAAGTGGCCCCGCTTGTCCACCTGTAGAGCTCCAGAGAAGAGTCTGTCCCGGAAATTTTTTTTTTTAGTCTATTTTTGGAAAAGGGGGGGAATGCCAGGTATGGTGACACACACCTATAACCTCAGTACGTCATAGACTATGGCAGGAGGAATGCATCAGATCAGGCTGGGCTACATAGTGAGACTCTGTCTTAAAGAATAAAAGAGTAGGAGAAATTACGACTTAGATGTCATCACTGGAGAATGGTGATGTATGGGGCCCTCACCAGCACCAGGCCAGCACCCTGGACCAGCTGAGGTGTCTCAGTCTCCCATCAGTCCCAACCCCCTTTGCTTTTTGTCCAGAGGAGCCCATCTGTGAATTCTGTGCATGTTGGCATCTGAGGAACAATTCATTTGTTTTGAGCTGGTGGTGTTTCTTTTTTTTTTTTTCAAAGCCCTAATTTGCATGTATTTCCATAACTGATGAGATAGTGGGAGTCATGAAGGATGAGCTCCCGGAGGCCCGGTTTGTGGCTGCCGATAATATTGTAGATTCAAGTTGGAAAGGAGAGGGGATCAGTCAGTGGGGCTGTTAAGATCTCTTCCTCCGGCGGCCACCGAGCGGCTCTCTGAGCTAACCCTGCTTCTTCCAGAGCACCCAGGTGGGGATTACAGCTTCTCAGAAGTGGGCGCCCCCCCTGGCAAAGGGTTTACCCTATTGCTGCTGCTTTGATGTGGGAAAGATGGGAATAGCCAAACAGTTAGTTGGGAATCTGAAGATTCATATGGCATTTGGTTCCTGAATCAGACTCTGTTTAACATGTAATAATCCTTTTAATTCTTATAGCAGCCCTAAAGGATGGGCTCTAATAACACCCCTACTTACAGATAAGCAAGCTGAGGCCCAGAAAGGTCAAGAGGCTTGTCAGGGAGCACAGGGCCCAAAGTGGTCAGACAGGGATTGAGTTCTGATGGTGATCTCCTTGATCACTCTTCTAGTTTGCCTGGCCTCAAGTCCTGGCTTCCAGCCCCACCTGGGCTGGTAGAATATATCTGGAGGAAGTTGGAAGCACTGTCTATTGGAACCTAGGGCAGTTCCTGCGGTGTGGGAGTGGCAGTAAGATGGACAGAAACATTTGCTCACTGTCCAAAGCTCTGGAATTCAGGCTGCAGGGACGCTCTCCTCCACCCCCAACCTCCCGGTCCAGCTTCACATGCTGTAAGCACCACGATGTTTTCGGTGTATGCCTATGTGGGAGTGTGGGGCTTCTGAGGTCATGGGCCTTCCTGAGTCTATTGCGATGTCCTCATGGTATGTCTTGCTCTATACAGGAGGAGCCATGGGAGGGACAGTCAGCGCTGTGGCCTCACTGGTGGACCTGGCAGCATCCAGTGACGTTAGGGACAGCGCCCTCGCCTTCTTTCTCACTGCAGCAGTCTTCCTTGGTCTCTGTGCGGGGTTCTACCTACTGCTGTCCCGGCTGGAGTATGCCAGGTGAGGTAACCCTGCCCTGCCCTCTGCATCTGGTCATCTGTACTTACTGGTTGCCTATTCCCCAGGACTGTGAGTTTTAATAGGGCCATAGCATGTAGGAATTTTGTTCCAGGTCCCCAGTTGTGGTCTTGGGTGGGAGACACTGGCTCTGATCACACCTCTGAACCAGTAGGGCCTGCAAGCTTGGGGTTTGGGAAGATTGCACAGTGGAGGTGGGATTGGGCAAGAAAGTGCCAGGATTACATATGAGCTACCACGTCTGATTTATACGTTGCTGTGGATTAAACCCAGGGCCTGATGGGTGCTAAGCAATCATCCTACTAACTGAACCACACTCCTACAACCCTGTTACCCCCTTCACCACACTGTTTTAGTTTTTGGTTTTGGTTTGGAGACAGGGTCTCACTATGTTGCTCAAATTGGTCCCAGACTCACTGCAATCCCTCTGCCTCAGCCTCCCAAGTGCCAGGATTTCAGGCCTGAGTCATCACATTCTGCTTACATTTTATATTTCTTTTGTTGTTTTGTTGTCATTGTGCTGTTGTTTACCTAAACTTCCCCTTTCCAACATAAAACAAAGCCAGGCCAGGTCCTCTAGTTACCGTGTAGTGATCTTGGCTGGTTTCCTGTCATTGCTCATGGTATGGTCACCACCTCTGATCCAGAGACTGGGATCCAGTATGGCAGGCTGGACAGGGATAACACAGGCCATCTCTAACAACTTGTCCCTCCTACATCATGTTGTGGGATCCTGGCCAAGAGGCTCCCACGACTTGGGCTTTGCCTGCTGGGTCTCTGAGAACCCACAGTGATTATGTGGACTCTGAGGTCTCCCCTTCAGTGTCCCTGGAGTTTCTGAATGGTTCAGTTCCATAGTGACCCACTGACCATGTCACTGTCCCTCTGCAGGTATTACATGAGGCCAGTTGTCCCAGTCCACGTGTTTTCTGGTGAAGAGCACCCATCACAGGACACTCCCAGCACCTCCTCAGTGGCCCCTGGGTCCAGAGTGGTACACACACCACCCCTCGGACCTATCCTGAAGAAGACAGCCGGCCTTGGGTTCTGTACTGTTTTCATCTACTTTATCACTGCCCTCATCTTCCCTGCCATCTCCACCAACATCCAGTCCATGCACAAGGGCACTGGCTCTCCATGGACTGCCAAGTTCTTCGTGCCCCTCACTGTCTTCCTCCTTTTCAACTTTGCTGACCTCTGTGGCCGACAGGTCACAGCCTGGATCCAGGTGCCGGGTCCTAGGAGCAAGGTGCTCCCTGCACTGGCACTGCTGCGTGTCTGCCTCGTGCCTCTCTTCCTGCTCTGTAATTACCAGCCTCGATCACACCTGACCGTGGTGCTGTTCCAGTCTGACATCTACCCTGTGCTCTTCACCTGCCTGCTGGGGCTCAGTAATGGCTACCTGAGCACACTGGTGCTCATCTACGGGCCCAAGATCGTGCCCCGGGAGCTGGCTGAGGCCACGGGCGTAGTGATGTCTTTCTACATGTCTGTGGGCCTGATGCTGGGTTCAGCCTGTGCAGCCCTGCTTGTACACCTTATCTAGGAGGAGCATCGAGGACATAGGTACGGTGTGAGACTTGGGCCATTGGGAGAGGCACAGGGTGAGCCGAGGTCTCAGATGGTGTTAAGCACGGGGCCAGTGTTCCCTTTGGTGCAGAGCAGAGCCCACTTAGGCTGTTCTTCTCTAAGGGTGCTTTTGAGCCACATCCTTGCACCACAGGATGACATTCTAGACACAGCCCAGCATGGTGGTTCATACCTATAATCACAGCATTCATGAGGCTGAGCTGGAACACTGTTGTGAGTTCAAGGCCAGTCTGGCTACATAGTGAAACCCTATCTCAAAAAATAAGCTAAGACAAAAAACCCGAGACATTTGAACACTTCAAGAGAATACTCCAGCGAGCCATTTGAAGGACACAGTTGTTGTAGCTAGGGTATAGTGCTTGTTTAGCATTCATGATGCCCCGAATCCCATCCCCAGCACTGCATAAACCGGACATGTTAGTGAAAGCCTGTAATCCTAGCACTTGAGAGGTGGAAACAGGAGGATCAGAAGTTCAAGGTCATCCTCAGCTACATAGGGAGTTTGAGGCCAACCTGGGCTACATGAGACACTGTCTCAAAAAAAAAAAAGTACAATTGTAAAGAGGGGGTGTGTTATCTTTGTGGCTAATAAGCAGCCTATGTCTGACCTGCGTTGTCACAGGTCAGAACCCAGCCTCTCTTTCCAACTGACAGCAAGGTAGGAGAGGATCTTCAGTGTCCCCTAGAGGTCCCCTTTGCAATGGCCAGTACTCTGACTTAGGGCCCAAGTATATGCTGATTCCCTGGTTCTGTGGGTTGAGAGTAGACCAACCATCTGGAAAGGCCCACCAGGCAGGCTTCCTAACACTTCCTTCTCCTGAAGTCTGTATCAGGGACTGGCCCAGTGCCCTGCAGCCTATTTAGGGTCCAGGAAGTCTTTTTTAGCAGTCATGTTTACAGCCTGTTGGGGCACTTGGTTCAAGGGCATAATAAATCTTGGGGTTCTCTATGTGAGCTTTGTTAATGTCTGTCAGTTGTCTTGGCAGGAAGCAGTGTGCTAAGATCAGGTGATTTGGAGGGATGTAGAGACAGGTACAAGAAACCCAAGGGCTTGGGGCACACTATTTTCCCCCATTGCCATAACAAAATACTTGACTAAAGCAGCTTAGGGAAGGAAAGGGTTCTACTGGCTCAAAGTTTAAGAGGGACACAGTCCCCTGTCATCAGAGCAAGGAAGGCACAACAGTGGATGTAGAAGTGTCTGATCGCATTGTGTGTACAGTCCAGACCTCAGTTGGTGGGATGGAGCTGTGCTGCCCACATTAAGGGTGGGTCATCCCTCCTTAGTTGCTCTCCTCTGGAAACATCCTAGCAGACACGTGTGTTTCCATGGTAATTCTACATCCAGTCTCCTAGACAATGGAGATTAACCATCACACTGTTGAAGAACCAGTAAGAGTGAGGCCCTTCCACGCTTAGCCTGAAGAGGCTAGCAGGAAGCCCTTCTAGATAGTAGGCATGTGACCTTGCTTGGGGTAAGCAGGGGCAGATCCAGACAGCTGTGACCCCAGAAGGGAGGCAGAGATGCCCTCCTCCACCCACCCCCCACCCACCCTTCATGCATTTTTAAAGATCACACAACTACCAGCGAAGGCAGACACATGTGAGCTGAAGAGTGGACAGGAAGATGTTGCTGTCTCCTGCCTAAGGTGTTGCTCAGCAGGGCCTGCTGGCTCCTTTGCTGTCACAGTTTTCCAGAGTCAGCACAGTGCTGACCCTTGCTCAGCAGAATTTAGGGTTGCTTTGTTCTGGTTCAGTTCCTGATGGTTGCAGTTGGGGCAGCTTCAGAAGAGGACCTCCAGACTCTGTCACCCAACCCAGGAGACCATGCCCCCTCACATTTGATATGCTGCACGAAGCAACATGGGTGCTGAGTACTGGTTCGACAGGTGCCAAGGGCTCCTGAGAGGCTGTTTCTCTGGAAGAAGGGCCGGCTGGCTTGGGGATCAGGTAACTTCAGCAGCCCAAGTGTCCTTTCTCAAGGTTCCTGATGACAGAGGAGAGCTCATCCCCAAGACATGGCTACCCTCTGTGCCAGGAGCCGATGGGGGAGCATGGGCTGGGGGATCCTGCAGATGCTGATTAAGTGGGAAGCAGCATAATCCCCCCCAGTGGCATCAGCTTATGCCCCCTGCCATCATCAGCTTCACACTCCCGCTCCAGCCGAAGGATGGGAGAAGACACCCTTGAGGGGGTTTCTAAGCTTGAACCTAGTAAAAAGCAAAGGGAAAAAGAAACCTGCCTCTATATACATGCACACTCCCTTCCCCTGTAACGCTGGGGATGGTCCGGGACGTGGGGCTAGTGCTGACTCATCCCAGCCTCCGGTGTGCTAGAAGTGGGCCATGTGTCTGTTTAAAGAGAAACAGCAGTGTGTGTGTGTGTTGGGGGGGGGGAGGTGGACTGCTCTCACATGCTCTGCTGAAAGGGTAGCCTCTGAGTGGACGGGAAGGTGGTAGCAACTGTGATTTGACAGCGTCCAGACGGAGGGATGCATCATGCCCACCCTAGGTATAGAGAAGTGGCTGGCAGGGTTATCTCCTTTTGACTCACCTGAGTGGACATATTTCCAAGGAGCCATCCCTCTCAGAGAGGGGAGGAGGAAAGAAAGGTGCATTTCCGGGCAGGGGCAGACACAGGACTGTAGGTCTCGAGCAGCAAAGACTGGGAGCACAAGCCTGCTCCCAGTCTTGAGTCTTCTAACCACAGTGACCTTGTAGAAGCACCTCAGACATTCAGGAGTGTAAACATGTTGCTGTAGAGGGGGATTACTCTATGCTAACTCCCTGCCTTGAGTAGACGAATTCAGCAAGACCTGGAGAAATTAAACAGCCTTCCCAGGGTCGGTGGAAATCAAACCTAGTTCTCCCCAGACTCACAAGTTCTTGCTCACCCTCCTTTCTTGCTGTCCTGGTTCATCTTGAACTTTCTCCAGGGCTCTGGTTTTGTGTTATTGAGAGAGGGTGGACTATGAAGCCCAGCTTGGCTTCAAACTCAAGATCCTTCTGCCCCAGTCTCTCAAGCGGTAGGCTTAACTGCCGTCCCTTAAGTAACAGTTAAGCACCATGCCTGCCTTTTCCCCTTGGTTCTTTATGCCCATTGTTCTTTTCCATTTTCTGCCATCTGGATATATTGCTCAGAACCCTGGCCTGAGAGGTGAGCTGGTTAGACGCCTGCTGACCAGGGCCCGCTTCAATCCTGTCCGAGCCCATTGCACATCCTCCTCCTCTTGCTGGGCAAAGGATCTCGGGTGGCTAAGGCCCTGACCCACTTTCTCTCATGTGCCCCTCTTCCCCTATACCAGCCACTGCCAGGACTGTCACTCCAGCATGGCCAGTGGGACATGGGACACAGTGTGGGTGTCAAAAAGTCTCACTCTCACTCTCAGAGTGCAAGTCAGCCTTTCTGTATCTTGATTCCAAGACAGTGACAGTATGCCATGCCCACTTCCCACCCCCACACACTGGACATTGTAGCATATGTTACAGGCACCGTCCATAGGTACACAGCTCCCTTCTCCCACCCCAGCCTTGGTCACATGATAGGTAGAAAAATAGACTTTGCCTCAGACAGTGACCACAAATTAGGCTGCTCTGAGCTTGACTCCAGATGATGGTGGCAAAGATGACATTCTCTTAGCCCTCAGCAAACTTGGTTTTCTTCCACTTTTTTTCTGCTTAGCCAGCTTGTTGCAATGTCCAATGACTTCCCTCTGGGTGCCCATACCCTGCCCAGTGCTGGCAGCTGTCTATGCCTACACCCCTGGGTCTGCCTCCCAGACACACCCAGCCTGGAGTTAGAAGCACTGGGGATGGAAAAGGAAGACATGGGAGCCGAGCTGCTGCTCATTCTGACCGGCAGACAAGCCGCCTCATGTGCATTTCTAAGCCTAAGCTAGGAAATGGCTGTCCCCAACACAAGCACAGATACCCTTAAAACAAACAAACAAATTAAAAAAAAAAAAAAAAAGGTACCCATCCTTGGGACAAGAGCTTGGACCCTTGTCCTGCCCAGTGGTGTGGATTTGCATCTTACCTCTTGCTGGCCAGTTCAGGGTCCACCTCCTGTTTCCCAGTTTGTCAGTGTGACTGTGGAACAGCCTCTTGCATGGGCAAGGCAAGATGATGGCCATCCATGCACTGGACACAGCAGACTAGCACCCGGTGCACTAGACTGAATGTAGCCCCTACTCATAGATGGAACACTAACTCCCCCATTCAGTGGTATTAGGAGGTTGGGGATCTCAAAGGTGCTCTCATAATGATTGTAGCGTTCTCATGAATGGGATCAGCGGCTGTATGAAAGAGGTCCAAGAGCGCTCCCATCCCTTCCAGTGAGAACCATGGATGAAGAATGTCAACAGTGAAGTGGGGAGCAGACACTAGGATGAAACCCCCACAACCTCGGCGTTGGACTTCCTGGCCTCCAGAACTGTAAGACAAATCTTTCTATTGTTCAGGAGCCACTAAGTCCATGCCGAAATCAGCATCAGAAATGTGGTGCTGCAGGGCTCTGGGTTGCAGGGAGATAAGCACAAAGACCTGAGTTCGATAACCTAGGCCTTCCCAGAACATTTGTAATCCTAGCACCAAGGAGGCAGAAACAGGCAGGTCCCTAGGGCCCACAGGCCAAGCAGTCTAACTTATGTGGCAAGTTCCAGGCCAGTGAGGGCTCTGTCTCTCAATGATGAAAGTGGCTGGTATCTGAGCAACAGTTCTCGAGGTTTCCCGCTGGCCCACATGCACACATGCTCACAGCAACCCCACCCCTCACAAGCACACGCACATACACATAGTCACAAGAACTGGGCTAGGGGTATGGGCTAAGCATTTTGTGGGAATGGTGGAAAAATCCTATATTGCTGCAAACACACCTTTAAAAGAGATTCTGGGGGTGGTTCAGGGGAGGAGGAGGAGGAGAAGGGTGGGAGAAGGGAGAGAGGAAGGAAGGTAGGAAGGAAGGAAGGAAGGAAGGAAGGAAGGAAGAAGGAAGAAGGAAGGAAGGAAGGAGAGAAGGAGGAGGAAGGAAGGAAGGAAGGAAGGAAGGAAGGAAGGAGAGAGGAAGGAGGAAGAAGGAAGAGAAGAAAGATGAAAAGAAAGAAGAAAGACAAAAAAAGAAAAAGAAAAGAAAGAAGAAGAAAGGAGGAGGAGGAGGGAGGAAGAAGAAGAAGAAGAAGAAGAAGAAGAAGAAGAAGAAGAAGAAGAAGAAGAAGAAGAAGAAGAAGAAAGTTGGATCTGTGTTCTAGAAGGCCTGAATAGTAGAGAATCCCTGATTGATACTGATGTAGTGACAGATGTCAGAAAAGGTCTTCAGTTAAAGCTCATGGCTGAGGTAGGAGCACCCTGCTGAACAGTGAGGATTACCTGATGGTGTGGCTCTGAGCTCTGGGAGGCACAGTGGAATATAGTGGTTTGAGTGACAATGTCCCCAATAGGTTTAGATAGCTAAGTACTTGGTCCCCATTTGGTGCCACTGTTTGGGAATGTTTAAGGCGGTACATCCTTGCTGGAGGAAGTATGTCACTGGGGGGGCAGAACATTCTAGTGCCCCGGCTGTCACATTTCCTTCCTCCCTCATTCTAAAACTCATATTCAAATCTTGATCTGGGGTCCTGGGTGGGATGAGGAAGTTTTTATGGTAGTCACCATTCTAAGACCCATATCCAGGTCTGAATCTGGGGTTCCTAGGATGAGGAAACCATGGAACCCCTGTGGTGATGGGCAGCAGTGCATTTGCCTCTCTTGCGAATAGGAATCAGCTTTCACCAGATCATGAAAGAGTCAATGGTGGAGCATGGTGCCAGTGCTCCTGGGCACCAAGCCCCTGTAACTTGTGTAGATGGGCTTCTGCTCTAGAACAACTTTGAGCCTGACTCTCTCCAGTTGGCCAATGACCTTGGACAAGTCTCTGTAACTCTGGTTCCTCATGTGCCTGTCTCCATGACTTCTCATAAAGATGGAGTTCATCTGCACATAGCTGGTCACCCAGGCTAGAGGGTCACTTGTCCTTCTCAGCACTGGTTCCATAAGGAGGAACAATGGAGACAGATGGTGACTCAGGTCTAGAGCCTTGGCTGTCAGATGAGGTCATGGGAGAGCGAGTCTGATCTCTGCTCTCAGAGATAAGAGTGTAAGGCCCCCCCTGAAAGGGAAGATCCTCACTCAAGTCTCCCAGAAATACAGACGGCCGGGAGGACGGATAATTTCCCCAATCCAGGAATTACCGTACCCTCACCAGCTCCCAGACGGGAATCACCCAAGCATCCCTAAGGTTCCCACAGACTTCCTGGAACGTCTTCCAGGGTGGCAGTCGGTGACCTTCCTAGCACGTCTGCTAATCACACTCTGTCTCCTCCTGAGACCAGAGCTCTTGTCTCTTCCCGAGACACAAGCGACTGCAAAGCTCAGAACCAGATTTCAGACAAAACCACACAAAGACACAGACATACAAGACAGACAATATGTCTCACCTCCAAGTGGGTCTTCGGAGACGAGGGTGGTCGAAAATCCCGGGACGAGCCCCCAAATGTAAGCCCCCCACAAAGGGAAGATCCTCACTCAAGTCTCGGGATGACGCGACCCCCCAAGAACTCATGAGAGACTGTCCTTGCTGCAATCGAACAAGGTTTATTGACAGGAGCCAGCACGCTGGGGCTGAGACTCATATCCCACGCAGGGGTAGAGGAGTTTCGACCCTGAATGGCTGGGAATAGGGATTTTTAAAGGAAGAAACCACAACCCAAAATACCAAAAATACCAAAAATACCAAAAATACCAGTGAGGGAAGAAACCCCAACCCAAAATACCAATGAAGGGTCCCGAGGGAAATCACAAGGGGAGACTCCCTATTCCTTAAAATTGTTTGTAAGATTATAATCTAACTTTTTATGGCTAGCCTTTTCTGGAACAGAGTTGCTGAACCAGCTAGCCACCCTATATCCTAGGCCTTATTTTGTCTGCTGAGGGGGGGTCTTCTTTATCCTGGCCTTTCAGGAGGACACCCTATAGGGAAACCAGAGGGTGAAGCAAGGCTTCACCCAAAGTTTCTGTTCTGGCCAAACACTAAGAGCCAATCACCTCCCACACAATGCAGGAAGCAGCTCTGGCAGAGGCAGAAGCTATGAACCTGGAAGTGCCTGATAGATGCCCCAGTGGCATCTTCCCGTGGCCTGTTTGAAGTCACCTGTCTGCTCTGATGTCTGAGAAACAAAGCAACTATCAGTCATTGAGTCACATCCAGAACAAGCATTGGCGTGGACACTTCAGAGAAGCCAAAGTGGAGGCACAGGCACGCAGTTGCACACAGCAGAGGCAGCCAAGGATGAAGCCCAGGCTGCTGGCCTCCGCTCTGTGGCCATTCCTACAGCAGTAGCAGGTCTCAGCAGAAACCTCAGAAAGCACTTTCTAGAATACAGAGGGCTTAATCCACCCTCAGGGCCCCATCTCACAGTGCAGGTGGGAAGACAAGTTCCCAGGTGTCACTAATGCTGCCTCTAGGAGAACCACCGTGCTCCGGAAGATGAATGAGGGGCTGTCAGGAGTTTGCCCCTGGCCCAGGAAGGAGTGAAGACTTCATCTGCTCTTGTTCTGGCTGAGGGCTCTCCTGGAAAGTCCTTGAAGGAGCCCATGCATTGAGGGCTCAGTCAGACTTCTGCAGACACAGTCACAGACTTGGGGTGGCCTCTGCATTTCAAGTGCCAAGTTCTGTCTCTCCATGTGCCATAGTCCGTGGCTTTTCTTCTCCATGGCACCCTTCCACCTGTTCCCCTCTCACCTGAGGCTTGAGGGGGGGGTGAGGAAGGGTGAAGACTGAGGGGCAAGTCTAGATGTGGAGCTGAGATCTCACTCCTGGCAGGCATTGCTGGAACTGGGGTGGAGTGGTAGGGCCACCTCCTGCAGTGAGGGGGTCACACCTCCTACCCGCTCTCTGGAGCTCATTAGCTGCAGAGGTGAGGCTCAGTGTTTCTCGTTTTTCTGAGTCTTTGCTGAGACTCAGAGAGGGAAATGAACCATTACCACTCAGCAAACACTCTTTGAAACAGAAAGCAAACCTGCATTTTCTAATAATGTCCCGTGCACTAAAAATGCAGAAGTCTGGCCTTGCTTCTTCCAAGTCCCCTTTCTGAAAAAGGACATCTGGGCCTTGCCTTCTATGTATTCAGTTCCCAGAGACAGAGCAGGAGGTCAGGAGCCCCCAACATGCCAGGCCAGTTGATGCCAGTTTGGTGCTCAGTGCCTCTGGGCTGTTGTGAGGAGGTGGGAAATGTCCCCACTCCTTGTTTGTTTTTGCCACTCCTTACACCCTGTCCTATTGGTCAATGGTCAGCCACTTTGATTCAGGAAATGTGAGAATCAGGAATGGTTTAGAACTGGAGGATGCTGGATGAGTCACTAAGGTCTCTGAAGCCCCAGGATCTTGGATTATTAGTTGTGCATACATCAAAATTCCGATCATGGCAGGACATCTTACAAACCGCAAAGTGTATAAGGCTTTACTGGACCAGCAGGTGGCTCATCTTCATCGTCAGTTTTTCTGGATTTGGACTCACCTAGAAGACCTACACCTCTGGGCATGTCTGTGGGAATGATGAGAGCAAGGCTCCACTGAGGAGGGAAGATGCATCCCGAAAGTAGGCAGCACCATCCCCTAAGCTGGGCACTGGATATGAAAGAGAAAGTGAGCTGGACACCAGCATTCTTTTCTATTTCCTGACTACAGATGTGGTGTAACTAGTTGTCTCCCACCCGTGTGGCCATCCCTTCCTCACCAGGATGGACTGCAACTCCTCAAGCCAGAAGCCAACATCAGCACTTCCTTAGCAGCAATGAGAAAATAAAACTAATACAAGCCCTCAGAGCTATTTTATAGCTTGTTCCCTGGACAGAGTTGTAGGACCAAAGGGACCAAGTTAAACAAACTCAACCTTCTAACTTGTCGTAAGGGCCTGTGTGTCAGCGTGGGAGGAGACACTTGTGTCACAGGACTTGTGAGTCAAACAGTGGGGCCCACAGCTCCAGATGCTTCTGTTTCTACTCTTGTCCACATTCTGCAATCTTTTCATTACTAGAAGTTTAAGTTCTTTTCCCTTGGAGGCAGGCATAGCTCTTGCTTCCTCTTGGTCATTTTCCTCTCTGCTGTCTTTGTGTATGTGCAAAGCTGGAGCTTATTAGACAGTACAGCCAGGATTAGTGGAGCTTAGCAGAGACTTTTGCAACTCCTTCTTCTCTTTCTTGGGTACTTCTTTTCCTCCGGGGCAGTGGTTCTCAACCTTCCTAATGCTGTGTGACCCTTTAATACAGTTCTTCATGTTGTGGTGATCCCCAGACATAAAATTATTTTCGTTGCTGCTTCTTAACTGTGATTTTGCTACTGTTAAGAATGGTAATGTAAATATCCGAGATTCAGGATATGTGATATGTGACCCCTGAGAAAGGGTTGTCCAACCTCCAAAGGGGGCTCGACAGATAGTTTGAGAACCACTGTTCTAGGGACATCCAAGGCCAGTGGTGGGCAGGGACTGTAGGTCTCCCCTGACAATGACTGATTGTCATTTTGTCTTTTAGTGTATCTGTGTTAATTCACAGGAAGAGGATGAAGTTCTATTGTGTTGACACAGGAGGTTCAACAGCACTGGGAACAGTCCCTGGTGCCATCCTGGTATTTGTGTGTGCAGCAGAAAGCCGGAAGTGGTTCCACCTGATCCCCTCTGTCCCACATCTCCCCTGTGGGAGGGGTCATTGCTCAGTGAGGGGGGAAAGCCAGTGGGTGGAAGATGTGAGCCACTGACTTCATCACACGTGGTGTGGTCCCTCCTAAGTAGAACCTAGATCTCCTGCACTTCCTCAGCCCATGCACCATTACCCACATCTTACTGCATGTGTAAACCCTTCCCCAACATCTTTGGACACACCTCTGGAAACAGACTCCGATCTGGAAGCTGAGTGGCTTGCCCAAGAAAGTGAGATGGGAATAGTGGCTCTCACTTCCTGGGTCCTTGAAGATGCAGAGGCAGGCGAACAGCTTTGGGCGCCTGTCACATGCTAGTTTGTTCGTTTGTTGAGACAATATCCTATTCTAGCCCAGGCTGGCCTGGAATTCATAGAAATCCTCCCGCCTCAGCCTCCCAAATGCTAGGATGACAGACATGAGCCACAACATCTAGCTGGTGCCCATCAAATTCTGCGGACCATCTCATCTCCTCTGTGCCTGAGGTGGCTCTGATGCAGAATAAGGTGGTATCGGGCTAAGTGAGATGTCTGTGATGGACTCACTAGGGTGCCACCCATAGTTCCCACTCGTTGCACGGAGAAGCTGGAACTTGGACACGAGAACTAGATTCTCTAACAGCTATGTCTCTGCACAGAAAGTCAGCATCTGGTTGTGTCCCAGTGACTCCCGGTCTGAATCCTAATTACCCTAGGAGAAACATTTAGCTTCCTACTCTAGCTCTTCAGCCCCCTCCTTGAAACTCTGTGTTCTCCTCCTACTTCTCTGAGACAGAGCGGGTCTTTTATTGGCCCCAGGGACTAATGATTCTGCAAGCTAGTCCCTGGGATCTGCCTGTCTCTGCCCCACCCTTCCCCAGAGCTGGGATTATAAATGCACACCATCATACCAGCTTTTTGTTTGTTTTGTTTTGTTTTTTCGAGACAGGGTTTCTCTGTGTAGCACTGACTGATTGGCTGTCCTGGAACTCTTTCTGTTAGACCGGGCTGGCCTCGAACTCACAGAGATCCACCTGCCTCTGCCTCCTGAATACTGGGATTAAAGCTGTGTACTGCCACCTGGATTTTTTTTTTTTTTTACAACAAACTAAAACATGGGTTCTGAGGATTGAACTTGAGTCCTCAAGCTTGCACAACTGGCATTTTACCAACTGATCTATCTCACCAACCTGTGTTCTTTCTTTGTAAGAGAATAAACCGGGCTCGAGATCTTGTGCACTGGAACTGAACATAGTGTTATGTGTCTTTCTAAGGTTTCTTATTTTCTGTTTATGATAGGTGATATGGTCCTCTATTAATGATACATGGAGATTTTAACATTTTTTGGGGGGGCATGTGTTATGTACTGCTGCATGTGTGTTCACATCAGAGGACAACTTAGGTGAATCAGTTCTCTCTTTCCACCATTTAGGTCCTGGGGAATCAAAATTTGGGTCATCAGGCTTAGTGGTAAGATCCCACTGAGCCATCCCTCCAGCCCATATACATAGGTTTTGTTTTGTTTTGTTTGTTTTTTTTTAAAAGAAATGTAAGTAAAACAACGAAGCAGAAATATTCACTTATAAATGCAAATGGTTCTTTCCTACTTATTAAAGATTGCATACAAGGTAAATTTTGTTACATAGCTTTTTCATGCATACATGTTGTCTTAGGGTTTCTAGTGCTGTGAACATACCATGACCACATCAACTCTTTTTTTTTTTTTTTTTTTTTTTTTTTTTTTTTTTTTTTTTTTTTTGTGGGGGGGTT